CACCTTGCCCAGGCTTCCCGTAGCAGTCAGCCTAGGGACCCCTGGAAAACCCTGTCAGGGCTTGGTGGACCACTGGATGTGTCTTCTGGGTTCCATCCCGTCTTGTGCGGGTTCATTGGTTGCTGTGCCCTTGTCTCAGGGTGATAGTCGCCTCTTTTACCTCCGTCATGCTGCCTGTTGGGTCACTGACACCTTGACCCGGAGTCTTGCGAGATGTGTCCTCTGCTTGTTCTCCAGTACTCTTCAGATGGCCTTACTGTTCCGAGTCCAGACGGCATCCGCGTTGCAAGCTTGGTTTAGGTTGCTGCAACGCGCTAGGTTGGTTTTCCACCTGGATGCCTCGGGGCCGCTCCATTTTGGTTAGGTGTTGTTCACGCCCTTTCCCCTCCCTGTTCCCGGCTCCTGACCATCTGCGGGTTTCGGGGTCGGGGCGGGGTTTAGTTGGTGCAGAGACTCGGACGGCTTCGGGGGCTGCCCCGTTTGGGTTGGGGACGGAGGTTTTCGAGCCTGATCCCCTTGCCTAGGCTTCTGGGTATTACCAGCAGCCCCTCTTTGCTGCCTTTCCTCAGAACTCTTCCTTTTCTTTAAGGGCAGAGGGCATGGAGGATGGCTTTGCCCGGGCCTTATGTTGCGGGTTCCCGGGGCTGTGGAGGATGCCCGCTAGCAGTTCTGGGGCTGTTTGCCCCTACCTGGGTTTTCTGCTTCTGGGTGGGGTTTTTTGTCCCTCTCGTCTTCTTGCTTCCCACATTTGCTGGCGTGTTTTCAGATCTATTGCTTCGGTCACGACTCCTTGTTCTGGTGGCCATTTTCTTTTTGCGGGTTGCTTCCCCACTTGGCCACCAGCGGCGCTGTGGTTTGTTTACTTGTGCCTGGGTGTGCGAGCTCGCATTTTGGGTGTGTTTTTCACCTCCTTCAGGGGTTTTATCCTCCTGTTGCTGTTCTTTGCTTTTTCTGGGGTGTTCTGTCCATCTTCTGTTCCTCTGAAATGCTTGGGTGTTGGTTTTAACACCAGTTTTTATGTTTTCTGTCTATTTGGGTCTGGTTCTTTTGTCTTATTTGGGTCTGGTTCCTGGGGTTTGGGTTCAGTGTCCCGGTCTATTTATGCTTGCTCCCACACCTTGTGTTCCTCGGTTTCAGTCCGTTTTGGCTGTTTTCCTGGGGGTTCTGTCTGTGTGCTGTGCTTTGCCCTTTCTGTGGTGTATTTCTGCCGGCAAATGTGGTGGTTTGGGCTCCCTCGGGGTTCGATTCCGGGTTCCTTTTGGTTCTTTGGTTTTGTTCCGGAGGATTCTTCCTCTGAGGCCCCCTTTGTGGGTTCAGGGGGGCTTTTAGTTACCTCATGAGTGACCCGGTTCTGCCTTCTGGGGTTCCGGGGTCTTCCTGGCTTGTAGGCTGATCTTTTTGGGTCTTGGCACGTGTTTAGGTCATGCCGGGGCCTTGGGTTTTTGTTGTCGAGGTGGGCCTTTTGGTGCAGTTTTTGTGCTCTCTTGGTGCTTTCTTTGTTGGGCTGGCATGGTGCTCTATGCCCACTGGTTGGCAGCTTGTCTTTTTCTTTTCTATCTATGTTTTTGATTTATACATTTTATATAAGTCAATGTGTGTATACAAAAAGGGCTCCTCCCCTTTTGGGGGATTTGGGGCTGGCGGGGTGGGCTTCTTCCCCTGCGCTTCATGTCATCTTAGGGTGGGTGCATTTGGACGCATTCGATCAGCCCCATCCTTCTGGGGTTCCTGCCTGTTCCAATGCCGTCACAGGCCTTTGCGGATCTGTGATTCTTTTGGACTTGTTCAGTCTGCACCCTGGATTATTTGCCTCTCTTTGGATGACTGTTATCTCCGGTCCGGCTTCTGTTGGGGCTGGGTGCCTGGATGGTGTCCCTGGACCTCAGGGTCACATCTTGGCACGTTCCTCTTCAGGGTTCCTGGACTAGCACAGTTGGTGGTGGGGCTTCAGGTTTGCCGCTTTGGTTGCCTTCTCTAGTCTAGTTTGCAATTGGCACCTCGTGTATTTACACTTCTTCAACAGATCTTGGTGACCTGTCTGCATCTGCTCGGGATGCGGTGTCTGGCCTACCTCGACGACTGGCTGGTGTGGGCTCCCAGTAGGTCTGCTTGTCTGCTCGCCAGTGGTGTGTTTTTTTTTCCAGATCGCCGGGTTCGGGTTCCTGGTGAACCGGAGGACATTCCATCTGGTTATGTCCCGAGTTCTGACCTGGCTGGATATTGTTTAGGACTCTTGGGCCGCTTCTTTGTCTCTCCCTCCAGAAGCGTTGCTGCGGCTGTGATCCCGTCTTCGGCTGTTTCTGAGGGGGGGTCTCAGGTCACTTGGAGGTTGCTCAAGTGGTTGTGCGGGAGCCTGAACTTCGCCGTGCTGGTCTACACACTTGGTCGGGTTTGGCTTTGGCATCTGTTTTGGTTCCTTTGGGAACGATCCTTCCGCTTCTTTCGCAATCGTTGGGTTCGTCCTCTGGGGACTTTGTGTTGGTGCTGCGTCGCCAGCTTCCTCTTTGGGGTTTTCGGGGTTCTGTGCCTTAGCCCCTCCCCGAGCCTTCGCTCGATGTGTTCACGGACGGGTCGTCTCTCGGCTGGGGCTTTGTGACCAGTGCTCACCAGGCCGGCTGGGGACAGTAGGGTCGTTTCGGGTCATTCGGGGCTCTACCATCCGGCTCCGTTCAGACTGTTCTTCGGTGGTTCATTGCCGGAACCACGGGGATTCTCTTCAGTCCTTGCCTCTTTGGGGTTGGTCCCTTCGAGTGGCTCGTCTGCTGGATTCTCGAGGTTTGGCTTTCCGTGCGATTCATGGGAGTGTCCAATGTCCTGGCGGACGGCCTGTCTCGGTTCATTCCTCTGTTCGTGGATTGGCTGGTCATCACCAACTCGTTTCATTGGCTTTGCCGGATGTACAGAATCTCCGGACATGGACATCTTCGCGCCGGCGTGGTCTCGGCGTCTTTCATTCTATGTGGTGCCCTTTCCCGCCTGCGATGCGTTCGCTGTGGATGCCTTTCGGCAGGACTGGTTGAGGTGGAGTTACCTGTACCTCTTTCCCCGGTCCAGCTGTTGCTTCAAGTTCTGGCTCGTTTAGAGTCCTTTTTAAGGAGAGTAGTCCTCATGGCCCAGCTTTGTTTTCAGACGCTGCTTGTTCGGTGTTCGAACCCGGGGCATTTCCTGCTGCTCCGCCTCTTTCGGCAAGTCAAACCAGTCCGGTATGTGGCTGTTTCGGCCTTCTACTCGGCTCTTCGCATCTAGTTTTTTGACACGAGTGTATCTCGATCTCTATGGTGGCTTCGTTGATGGTGTCCCACCTGCGAGCTTCGGCGACAGTAAGTAGTTCCTGGCATTTCTTTTCGCCTTTTTCTTGCTCATCAAAGGTTATTTTCTCTTTTGTATTGGGTTATCTTGTCCTTTCTTATTCTTTCAGGACCATTAATTGATGCTTCTTCTGTTGCCTTGTATTGTGCGGCATTGGCGGAGCCACTCCAGTTGCGTTCGGGGTGGACATGACATCCGCTGCGTTCCGTACGCTTTCTCGTGCTTTGTTTCACCTCCGACCTGCTCATGCACCGCCTGAGCCATCCTGGTCCTTGGTCTGGGGCTCAGGTCAGGGAGCTTCCGGCTCTCCTTCGGAAGAGCCGGAAGAGGGGTTTCTGCTCTTTTGGTACTGGTGGTAGGTTTGTAAGTTTGCAGCCTTCTCCATCTTTCTGGTGAAGGCCGAGATGGCTGCTTTCCAGAGGGGGTCCTTTTGTTATTGATGCTTGGTTGGTTCAGCTGGGGGTGCATCATGTGTTGTGTCTGGTTGCAGATCTTCGCTGTTACTTGCTTGCTTGGCTGGGGATGCACTTTGGGTTGATCTGGTTCCCCTCATTCCCTGTTCCAGGGCTCGAGTCTCTCAGATCGTCTGCAGGGTTCTTAAGTCTGCCAGCTTCTGACATTATTAGGCGATGCTGTGGTCACACGCTGAACAGGAATGCTGTGCGCTCATGCTGCGAGCGCCAGCCTTGGTTGCTCATTCACTACTGAGGCTCTCACACCCGGGAATGTGGACCATGATTTTTTTTATAGATGGCGTCTGTTTACAAGAGCTCTCAGGAAGCTGATGTAAACCCCATGTAGCCGCGGGAGTTTTGAATGGAACGTGAAAAATACAAATACCTGGAGGCACGTAGCACACCCCAGACGTGGGCCTGCAGGCGCGTTGCGCAGTTAAAGGGTTAAGAGGCACATCAAACTGGAAAAGATGTAAAGACATGCCACTAAATGGTTCCTAGAATTGAAAGAGGAGCTTTGAAGAGGTGTTTAAGGAACTAAATATGCTAAAGCTAGAAGTTAGAAGAAAAAAGGTGATTACTATATTACTAAATATTAACATGAATACAAAAAAATGATAAAGGGGAATTTTTGAGACCTGGAACTTCAAGAACAAGAGGTCATAGATTTGATCAAACTAAACAAAGCCGCCGAAAAAAAAATTGGAAATTCATTTTCACGAACAGAGTGGTACATGGTTTGGAACGAATTAAGTGAGGTGTTGGTGGAAGCCAAAACCGTCAATAGTTTCAAAGCTTTATAATAGAGTACAGTACTGGGAAAATGGGACACCATGAGCATACAGGTAGCTCTCTCATCTTGTAACAACACTTAGGTAATTACACACACACACACACACATTCAGTCATTCATTCATTCACTCATATTTGACATAATACAGTATTATATTGACATGCAATAGAATACCAGTTCTGCTTAAAAGGATTTATTCACTCTTGTACGAGATATGAAAAATTTATACCTTATTTTAATTTGCCGTGATCAGTTTTATGTTTGTTTGCTAAGGCAAGCTATTGTAACAAATAATATCATTATTTTCACCATATTGTGTTATCATGAGTTATACCAGTATACAAGACTGAGGTTTCCTTCCTTGATTTGTCCTAATGCAAGGTCCTTGTTCAATGTTTCAGTATTTGATAAAATTAAATATTCATAAGGTTTTGTCCTTACAGAGTGAAGAGGATGTTGGCATTGAGGCCAAAACCTATATAGCAACTCAAGGCTGCCTACCCTCCACTAGTGCAGATTTTTGGTGGATGGTGTGGCAGGAGAATACAAGAGTAATTGTCATGACAACCAAAGAAGTGGAACGAGGGAAGGTACAAAGCTGTAAAACATTTCCTCAGGGAGCCCCTTGTGGCTCCCCGAAGATATTATATACTGTACTGATAGAGTACCATCTAATAGGTTGCATCAGCCATGAAGTTCTATAGGGAACCTTCTGGGGACCTCACAGAGGTGCAGGGAGCAGTGACATTTAGTGATTTAGTATGCCACCACATGGGAAGCAACTAGAAAGTCAGCATGTCAAAACAAACCACTGCTGGGTTTCATTGACACCAAAGCCTCTAAAACTGCAAGATAGAACTTCCCTAACTATGTAAGCAAACAAGTGGAGGGGGGGATACATCCCCCCCCCCCCACCCATTTTTAGGGGAGGGGGAGGTAGCCTACCATCAGCTGGCATCTCCACCCTCAGTGCTATGCTGGTGTAGTGGGTACCAGGTCACCTCTCGATGCTCTGGCTTCGGTATTCTGCTGGTTCAGTTAAGTGGTGGTTTTTATCTTTGGTGGTGTTTCCTGTACATTGTACAGTGAACCTAGCTTTGAGAGTGCTTGGAGCTGCATGTGTGCAGGGCTACCTTCCCTATGTGCTCCCTAGTGCTGCTCTTGCATTGCAAAGGTTATCTTCCCTAAAGTGTTCAGGAGTTACTCCCTTAGATGGTCTCCTCATTTGTGGTGGTCCTTGGTGAGGGTGAACCAGGTCTCTTGGGACTTTACTGTTTTAACTTGGGTCACTAGTGGCATTGGCTGGCACTGCACACTGGATAGTTTATGTGCTTCTTTTGGCACACCGAGATCAATCTTCCCAGGCCTGTGAACCAGGCTGTGTCAGCTTAATTGCAGATCAGGCATAATGATCCCAGTGACAATGTGTTCTGTTTGTTTCTATTTCCCCTTCAGGGTCCGGAAATTCCCTGTAGGTTCAGTGCCTGTATGGATATCCCTCTTGAATCTGCTCTTGTTTCCAGCAAGTTTGAGGGTGGATTGTCATCCATACCATGTGATACCATTCAGTCCACTCAATCCATCTGTACTGTGAGTTGGGTTGGTGACACATTCAACCCCGAGTCTTGTGGGGTGAACTTGCTCTCCCATTTGACTTCCTTGTAGTCCTGATAAGGTTAGGCAGCGACCACTTTGCAGTTTTTTTCTCGGTTGCAGTGGTCTGGGTTCTGCGTTTGGTTGGGTGTCTCTCAGCTGGTGGTTATGGACCTGGAATTGGAGGTATTTGAGAACTTCTACCATCCACTCCTCTTTCTTTCCCTATAGACATGGTTTGCCCCTCTTCTGATTCTTTCCCCCTCTGCCCCTGCTTCCAGCCCAGGAACATCTACGGGTTTCTGGGTTGGGGCAAAGTTTAGCTTGGGATAGTTTAGCAGGAGACTCTTGAGGTATTCCCCTGCCAATTTAGATACAGAGGCATTTGAGCATGCTTGTCCCACCAAGGCTTCTCTGTCTTCCTTTAAGCCAGCCTCTCCTTTGAAGCCTTTCCCTTGGTCTCCGCTTTGCTATCCCGGGCTGTGGGTGCGGACACCAATGTTGCCACTGAGCCCTTGTCCGCAGTTTCCTGGGCTTGTGGGGACATCGGGTATGGGCTCCTGTAACAAATAATATGTTTTCACAATGTGAAAAAGAAACAAGTGGTACTCCACTTATGAGGTCCTGCCTCCCATTTAACTCTTCATGGCTCCTTGTTCCCTCTAAGGGGAATGTGTCTGTCTCCAGGGAGGTTTATGTATCCCACTCCCTGTGTAATTACCTAAATGTAGTTACAGGATGAGAGCTACGCTCGTGGTGTCCCGTCTTCCCAGCACTCTTTGTCATATAATGCTTTGAAATTAATGACGGTTTTGACCTCCACCACCTTCTCACCTAACTTGTTCCAGCCATCTACCACTCTGTTTACAAAAGTGAATTTTCTTATATATCTCCGGCAGCTTTGTTTCATTAGTTTAAAACTTTGACCTCATGTTCTTGAAGTTCCAGGTCTCAGGAATTCTTCCCTATCAATTTTATCGATTCCTGTTACTATTTTGTACGTAGTGATCATATCGCCTCATTTTCTTCTATCCTATGGTTTTTGCATATTTAATGCCTCTAATCTCTCCTCGTAGCTCTTGTCCTTCAGTTCTGGAAGCCACTTAATGGCATGTCTTTACACCTTTTCCAGTTTGGTGATGTGCTTCCCAAGAAATGGGCACCATACAACCACTGCATACCAACTTTGGTCTGACAAAAGTCGTGAACAATTTCTTTAGTATTTCTCCATTCATCTATTTAAAAGCAATTCCGAAGTTAGAAAGTGTAGTATGAGCTCCTTGCATAATGTTCTTCATGTGGTCCTTAGGTGATAGTTTTCTATCAAGAACCACCCCCTAGATCTCTTTCTTTGTCAGAATTCTTTAAAGATTTCTCACATAATTTATAGGCTGTGTGGGGGTCTGTTTTCCCATTCCACATTCCATAATATGGCGTTTATTCACATTAAACTCTGTTTGCCAAGTGGTGCTCCATATACTTATTTTGTCCAGGTCTTCTTGAAGCGCACAACAATCATCTAAGTAAGCCTTTTCTGTGGGGAGCCCCTACGGCTCCCTGGAGCTTATCAGGCTAATGTATGTTATGTTAGACCGGGACATTAGCTATGGAGTTCAGACCTACCAGGGACCAGCGCTAGAACCTGGCCCCTTCAGAGAGGTTTCAGGGAGCAATGGCCCTGGAAAACCCCATACGGTTGGGGGTTTTCCTTATCTGCCATCGACCGGGGTTAGGCACCCAGAAAGGTAGGCGTAACAAAACAAACCCCACATGGTAAGAAACTACAACGAAAACCGAACAGAGAGGTAGAAAATTCCCTACAATCCCAAGGAAAACAATCAATCAAACAATCAATTTACTGCCGCGCCGGTTGTCCGCGCAGCCCTCCCCTCCCGGGAGGGGGAGGGGGGGCCCCGGACCTCACCACGCCGGCTGCCGTCAGTTCGCAAGCTAGTGTCAACTGGGATAGACGCTTCTCTGGCCTCAAATTCCTTGGTGGTGGTTGCCTCGTGTAGCGTTCTCTACTGTTTTTGTGTGGTGTGCGGTGGCCAGGAGTACTTCATCAGTGCCGGGGCTGCATGCACCTAGGGGCTTCCTCTCCTAGGCGCCCTGTGAGTACTGCCCTTGCGTGTCAGGGTTATCTTCTCTGGGGCGTTCGGGAACTGCTCCCGTAGAGGTTCTTGCTGCTCGGCATTTGCCTCACCCTTGGAGCCAACTGGGGCTTGGGGCCCTTGTTTGGCCTTGGGTAGGGAGTGGTATTGTGCTGGTTAGGGCGTCAAGGTGTTGCGCGGCCTGCCACCTAAGCGGCGACCGGTTCCTGTTGCTCTGGGGACGGTGTACTTTTGCGGGGTTTTTCTTTTGTTTTGTTTTTGTTTGCCTGGTGGAGGTTCTGCCTCGTGGGCCCATAGTTCCCCTGGCATTGTTTTGGTGGCCCTCTGCTAGGCCCCCATGCTTGTACACGTCCCAGGTGTTTTCAGTACAGGTATTATCATTTACCCTTGTTTTGTTTGGGTTTCTTAACCGGTTAGCAACACCTTGCCCGGGCTTCCCGTAGTTGCTACCCTACGGGCCCTGGAAACCCCTGTCGGGGCTCGGGGACCCATGGATGCGTCTCCCGAGTTCCAGCCTGCCTTGTGCGGGTTTGAAGGTTGCAGTGTGCCCTTGTCTCAGGGTGACAGTCACCTGTTTTGCCTCCGTCATGCTGCCTGTTGGGTCAATGACACCTTTGACCCGGAGTCTTGCGAGTCCTGTTCTCTGCTTGTGCTCCAGTTTTACTCTGAGGATGTTCCTATTAGAGTACAGGCAGCATTAGCGTTGCATGTTAGATTTAGGTTATTGCAATGCGCTAGGTTGGTTTCCCGCCTGGATGCCCCGAGGCTGCCCCGTTTTGGCTTTAGGGACCCTGACCTGGGGGCGTTGGTCGCTATGGCTTTGGCTCCTGCCGCGCCCTCTGGTCCTTCCCCTGTGGTTCTTCCTGCACCTCCCCCCCTGTGTCCGGCTCCGAAACGTATGCGGTTTTCGGCCTTGGCAAAGGATTTAGTTGGTGGTGAGACTCGGGCTGCTTCGGGGGCTGCCCCATCCGGGTCGGGGACGGAGGCATTTGAGCCAGTTCCTCCTGCCAAGGCGTCTGGGTCCCACCAGCAGGCCCCCTTCTTGTCTGCCTTTCCCTTGGACTCTACCTTTTCTTCAGGGGTAGAGGGTTTGGAGGACGGCTCTGCCCCGGGTCCCGACGTAGGGGATCCTGGGGCTGGGGAGGAGTCGGCCTGGGGGCCTTGGGCCCCCTGTGACCCTACTTGGGTGCTTTTGCCTTCCCCACGGGGTTTATTGTTGCAGGGGGAGGGGTTTTCTTACCCCCCTTCCCTGTATGAGTATGATTTGGGTTCGGCTCCTCCCCGAGTTCGGTTCCGGGCGCCTTTGGGTACCTCGGCTCCGTCTTTCCAGGGGTTTGCTACTTCTCGTATCTCCGCGAAGGTGTCGCGGGAAGCTCTTGCTGCATACCTCTTGCAAGACCCGGGTTATGCCTCCCCAATGGATCCGTCCTTGTTTGAGTTCGGTTCCTCTTCCCGTTTTTGGGTGCGTTTGGAGGTTCCGGAGTCTTCCTGGCTAGCAGACTTCCCTTTTTTTTCGTTGGGGGTGTGGCATGGGTTCTGTCAGACCCGCACGCTTGATTGGCGGGAGACTGCTACTTTTATGCAGGTTTACCTGAGGGGCGAGTTTGAGCACCTTAATGCGTGCTTATTCGCTCCCGTGCTTTCTCGGGATGTTGGCCTTTTCCAGCTTCACGTGCAGGTTCCTCAGCTTTCAGCTTCATTGGTTGCGGAGGAGTTGCGCACCCGTGGGCATTTGGCTTCGGTCTTGCGTTTCTTTTCCCTTCTCGAGCTCTCTTCTGCTTGGCTTGAGGAGGATGTGGGAGTGTTGAGTGAAGGGCCTTCGTCCGGGGCGCTGTCTTCGGCAGCTAGGGCGTCGGCTGCACTGTTGAAGCTCTTTGCGCCCATCC